ATATATGCGAGCTGAAGAAATATTGGACTAAATTTCGTGATCTTAAAAATGTATCAGACAGGATTATCTCCCGCGTTGTGATGATGTTCTTTTTTAGTTGCTCTTATACACAGATGATTCCTTATAGCTCCTTCATAATTAAAACCTTGATGATTCTTTCTGGGTGTTTTTCTCCTGCCAGATACAACTCCATACAGCAGTATGTGATTTCTAGCACTCCAACCATGGAAACTGGGAATTTATCCGGAGTTGCGATGCTTCTTATCCTCGCTTTATCCTCCACTAATGGAAATCTGGAAATCTCGGCAACTTCTGTGAGTATATTATTGAAAAAAAAGCCAGGGCGCTATTCCAGTACACAGTGACCAAAACTGGAATATCGCAAAAATCAGAATTCTCTTTCATGCGATCTACTCCGTGAAAGGTGGGGAATCTGACAAGATCTAAAAGTGCAAGACAAGCAGAGAGTTATTATGAAAAATACGAAGGCTTGGCTGTGGCCAGCAACGATCTAGGAAAATTCAAGGATTTGCTATCCCCGATCCTCAAGCGACGAGTTTCTGGGACTCCGGCTCACGCTGCTGTCAGACAAGTTGGTATTGTAATCCAATATCCTGCGCTGTCATCACACAATTTCGGTCATTTTTGATTCATTCCCCCATTTTCAATCATTCCTCTGTTCGTTTCATCGTTAAGGTGAACACACATTTTGCATTTACGACAGTGTGATTTGCACCAGAATGACGAAACTACATAAATGCGAGGGTTGGTTCGTAAAAGATGATGAACAGCCCCTTATTACCATCATCAGAGGCAGATGCAATTTTTTCTTTTGTTCCTTAATCCTTCATTGATATCTAATAAATTTTTCATCCCATATACTCAGCTACAGATGGAAGCAAGTAAAATGTCTCACAGTCAATGCTCTCCACTGCAGTAAAGTTTAATGGATGAGCTGCGCAATGTTCAAGTGATAAATTAAACTTCACTTCAGTGCACTTCTTTTAAGAACCAACCCTTGTAAGTAGTGTGAAACCACAGGGACATACTTTCAAAAAAATCGCGCTTTTCCCAAAAATACATGCACAATCTATTGTAACGTAATGTAAATCAGGGATGTCCGCGAATTCGCGGGAAGAATATTCGGGAATATAGAGCTTGTTCTCTGTTATGAAACTAACACTGTTGGTACTGAAAAAGCACAGTAAGTACTTGGAGATCTGAGTCTATAAATTCGTGCATCGGGGATTGTGCAACGTCTTACTGTGTATATACAGCGGGAATATTGCACACGTTTACATCACGGAATTCAGATGCTGGAATATATTTCCAGGCGTTGAGAGACTTTGTTGAAAGTGCTTTTCTGACAATTTAGGCCTTATTCCGCCATAATTATAGATGAGTACATCAGTAAAGTATCTATATATATTCTCCTTTTAGATTCGAATATTTCCTGAAAAATGATTTGATAAAAATTATTCATGATCCATCGTAGTTTCTCGAGTTGTCTCGTCATTATATGAAAATCATGCTGGTCATTCGCAGCACGTATCAAAAACTCTGACGGACTACGGATTCACCGTGTGGCATCACGAATTCAAGGACAGAGTGCCCGTCGTAGACCTGGTCATTAGAGGTCAAGAACTCAGTTTCACCAACATCGTCGCAACGTATCATCTGGACAACACCAACGGCCCTAAACGCAAAAAGCTGATCCTAGCTTGTCACTACGATTCACTGTACGCGCACGCCCTCAGCTCATTCGTTGGTGCCACGGATTCTGCCGTACCGTGCGCCATCTTGCTTGACATCGCACGAGTTCTCGCACCGCTGCTCTCCAAGGTCGAAAACGTGAGTTTCAATTTCACTATAACGGATTCCATAACACTGCATGACGCATCAGTATTGTGTTTCAACTCGGTAATGAGGCCCGAATTCCAATTTGCACCTTTCTCTCCCTACATTCGAACTACGCAAACGCAGACATTTGCATTCAAGTAACGAGAAGCTCGCCTGTTCAATGCGCTGACGAGAACTGCTCTGTGAAATATAAACGCGTCAGAGCAAAAATTTCATGAGTCAACGTACTGACACATATGGGACAAAAAAAATCGTTTTCATCACCGTAAGTTCGCAATAATATTTCATGAAGACTCGTCGGTGACGAAGTGCGCTTCAACGAAGAAAAAATAGAGTTCGAAACGGACCAAACAATAAATTGAAGCCCGAATCGTTTTGCTTGATGGATAAACATTTTCCAGCCCTTTTCCTTGGCCAAAAGACGTGAACAAATTGATCATATATAAAATGTATTTTCTTCATTCCAGTCCTTGTTTTTTCTATACCCAGCAAAAATGTTAGGAGTTGGAAGCTGGGGCGCTGGCACTAGGTAGTTATACAAGTAGTAATTTTCTAGATTTCCACAACTCCCTGGAAAACCTCCTACGCCCTAAGCATAGGAGTTGTTATCAAGGTAAATGTGAAGTAGGTCTCAACGTGTTGAACGTCAACTCTGTAAATCATGGAGATGGTCAAATGTACATTTTTACTAGTCGTTCAGGTAGTTGTTACCAACTGGGGTCATTGGGAGTCTTCTAGGAGTCGGTAGTGACTGGCTGATAGCTAGACACTTGGGAGTTGCTGTTGTTGGGTGGGATCACATGTGGCAAGGGTGTCGTTTGGAAGTCGGCTCCAACTGGCTGTTAGCTAGATACTCAGGAGCTGCTGTTGACTGTTGAGATTGGGAGTCATTTGGGCGTAGGTTCCAACTGGCTGTTAGCTAGATGTGTGGGAGTCGCTGTTGTTGGGTGAGTCACATGTGGGCATGGGTGTCGGCTCCAAGTGGCTGTTAGTTAGTTATTGGGAGACGCTCTGTTGACTGCTGCGCTGTGCTGCGGGATGAATTAAAAATATTTATTTTTGTGATTTATTTATTTTTTAGTCGGCTCCAACTGGCTGTTAGATAGATACTTGTGAGCTGCCTTAGTTTGATGATATTCGTGCTGATGTGAGTCAAATCAATAAAACATCCCATCGTTATTTTGTTACAGCATATAGATATATCAGGTTAATCAATATTCCATGAATTGTGTGTATTGTTGTAGTCTAATCTTATATGGATGTAGATGTATAATATTCGAGACCACTTGTCATTGATATGTAATTCTTATTCAATTATTGAATTTGTGTGCCAATTTGCCGATGTACAACGGCGATTCAGTATGTTTGCCGATGTACAACGCCAATACAGTATGTTACACCAATGGAAGATGTTGAAGATTGTAGTTTAGCCGATGCACAACGGCAACTGGCTGGTAGTTAGATACTTGGGTGCTTTTGCCGTTGGGTGATAATGTGCTGATGTGGCAATGGAGTCGTCACGGTAATTTTCCTTTTGATAGGGCATTTCTATCTACTTTTGAGCTGAATCAAAATCGGAAGAATTGTGTGTATTGTTATATTATAATCATTTATGTATGTAGATTCATAATAGTCAAGTCCTCTTAAAATTATTCTGTTATTCTAATTAAATTATTGATTGTGTGTGACTTTTCAGTTGTACAACAGCGATTTAGTATGTTATTCTAATTAAATTATTGATTTTGTGTGATTTTTAAGTTGTACAATGGCAATTTAGTATGTTATGCCGATGGACAATGTTGATGCATCTTGTTTAGCCAATGTACAACGGCGGTATATATTGTTAATCTGACAGGCCCATGGGGGATAGTCCAAGTTTGTCATTCCACTACTGAAAAGAATCATATAGTACAGATTCATGTAATGCACGGCCGAACGCATATTGATGTGGAAAATAATGTTTTTGTGTAGGTAGTATATTTTGTTATTGCTGACGTTTGATCCTGTAAATAATTTATTGCCGAATCCTTGTCGGTAACACTGGTAACACCCACTTTATGTTAACACCCAAATCCTTTTAGTTAATGACATAAGGAAATGGACGAAAGAAAGAAATTATATAGTAATGACATACGACGCTTATATATAAGTAATGAAAAGAAAAACATCATTATTACTTGCCAATATATACTGTATATCGCATCAGAAATGTGTTCCATCTGTGACTGAGGATTGTACCTCAGTACAAGAAAAAGTAAAAGAAAAACGTCATTATTACTTGCCAATATATACTGTATACCGCATCAGAAATGTGTTTCATCTGTGACTGAGGATTGTACCTCTTAATGTAAGATGGCGCGGCGCCTGAATTCAGCGATCAAAGGATTTCCGTTGGCATTTTCCTGGGCGCGCAGGTCCGCCATATTTGTATTGCATATATACAGTGCGTTTTCATTGTTGAGTTTTAAAGTATGATTTAATAAAAATTGTTATGTGGATATTGAGTTGTATACGTGTGTGACTTTGTGCCATGGAACTTGGAGAGCTTTGGCCATGAAATTTCTCATGTGGGCAAAGTTCTTCACGTTCTCCTGGCGCTTATTGTCAAACAGCGCAGTGCTGCTCCTGCTTTTCTCATCATATGTGCTTCGCTGCCGTTGGTGTCGGAGTTATAAGTGACAGTTTCGTGCAATGTATATTAGCACAATGATAGTGTTTTAATTATAAATACGTGTGTTGTGTTTCAGATATATGTGTATTTGGCATTGTATACGTGTGTGTGACTTCGTGCCATGGAACTTGGAGAGCTTTGGCCATGGAATTATCATGTTGGCAAAGTTCCTCACGTTCTCCTGGCCCTGGTCAATCAGCGCAGTGCTGCTGCTGCTTCTCTCATGGTTCGTCGCCTGTGGTGTCGGAGTTATAAGTGAAAGTTTTGTTCAATATATGTATATTAGCACAATGATCTTGTTTTAATTATAAGAACGTGTGTGGTGTTTCAGACATATATGTTGATTCGTACTTGTATTTGTAGTATGCGTGTGTGACTTTGTGCCATTGAACTTGGAGAGCTTTGACCATGGAATTTCTCATGTGGGCGAAGTTCTTCACGTTCTCCTGGCGTTTGTCAATCAGCGCAGTGCTGCTGCTGCTTCTCCCATGGTTCGTCTCCTGTGGTGTTGGAGTTATAAGTGAAAGTTCTGTGCAATGTATATTAGTGTGGTGTTTCAGACATATGTTGATTTGTACTTGTATAATTTGTAGTATATGTGTGTGACTTCGTGCCATTGAATTTGGAGAGCTTTGACCATGGAATTTCTCATGTGGGCAAAGTTCTTCACATTCTCCTGGCGCTTGTCAATCAGCGCATTCCCTTCTTTTTTTCAGCATGACTGCTGTGTGCTGTATTAGTTAATATATGAAAGCATTTGCAATGATACTATATGTGTGTGTGATGTGTTTCCTATATATATGTTCCAAACGGTATTAAGAAACTGTTGATGAATATATATGTATATATATTATAAAATTGCAGGCGCATACAAACTGCTGAAAGTGGACATTATGTCTCAGACGAATTATCCATATTGCTATTGTCCAACTTACCCATTGGATGCTAGCATGTGGAATAATTTCGATGAGTACATTAAGTACATTTACTTGAAGAAGGCAGGATGGAAGGCTGGTATTGTAAAACTGCAATGCCAGCCTGACCTCATTTGCCTCCTTGATCCCTTACCTCTTCCCTTTCACTGAACCAGACTCAGTGATGATACACTGTGGGCAAAGTTTAGTAAAGTTAAATTACAAAGTGTGAGTGATCAGCAAGTTACAAAGCTGAAAAGTAGTGGTGTATTCGGCATTGTGAATAAAGCAAGAAATGCGACAAAGGACGTGGCAACTCCTCTACAAAATTTTATGAAAGTGAAGGAGATGAACGCCATGCATCCGAAGAATTCGGTAGAGCAGTGTAATAATGCTGGTGATCCTCCCGTACTTCCTCCTGTTCAAGCGCAATCATCATCATGCACTTCCGTGAAGTCAACACCAAATGAAATCGAGAAGTACAGGAATGATTTCTGGGAGAAGCTACTACAACTTGAAGCAGAAGGTGTAACGGAGGAATAGCCTTACGTAACAGAACTACATGTCGAGGAACCTGAGGAAGTCGTCAAAAGGCGAATTTCAAAGATGAAAGAGCAAGAGAATGTTCCTGATGAAAAAGTGAGTTCTGTTTATTGCATTTAAACCGTAATACATTAATGAAACAATTCTTATACTTCATGTATCCATTAGTATTAAGTCCCATTATTCTCATTTTCGTGAAATATTGAGTGACAGCATACAGTCACGTTAGCATGCATTTGCCCTAGTAATGTAACAAGTCCGTTTCATCAGTACATTATTTATAGTGTGTGTAAATTAATCCAACGGCTCATTGGTTACAAAATCACATGCTGAAACATACCCGCTTTTATCATTTGTACAGCTGTAAAACGCCGATGTTGTCAAAATTAAATTCCGAATTTTTGCCGATGGTCTATATCCAGCAAATAATGGGGGCGTTGGGCTGTGAACTGTTAAGGTAACGGACTGCCAACAGGTCCTGGAACCCATTCTCAGAATGGTTGGGAGCAGAGCCCAACGACCCCTGCTGTGGCATTCTGAGGGAAGCGTTACAGGACCCGTTGGGAGTCCATTGTTAACCTAGATACTCTATACTTGTTGCAGGTTCTCTATATACAGAAATTACCCATTTTATAGGTTGGGTGGGGAGGGGGTTTGGATGTGGAAATCTTGATTGAACCTTGTGAATGCTGAAAAGCAGAAAATAAAGCATTCTGTTCATTCATTCATTTAAAAAAAAATTAAGTGGGGTATTTTTTATCCGAGGTACCAATAAACAGTGTAGATATCATGACAAAATGTCTAGGAAAATCCGAGCTACGAATTATAAAACCTCAAAATTAGCAGAGTAACTTTTTTTTGTGCGTGTGTGTGCAGAACTGAAGTTTAGTACAGTATTTGATTCCATTGTATATAGTACTGTACCAGCAACCAAAGATTAGCAAGTGATGTGAAGAGCCTGAAGACAGTGTATATAAAATAAACACACAGATCCATCTTGCATTGTGAGTTGCATCCGCTGGAAGGTTTGCAAACATATAATTTGCTCCACGCAATCATCCTGCGAAACTATATGTGCAAATATCCACAGCCTATTCCCGCATTTTTTAGCCTCGGTGTAATTTGATACACTAAGAAAGTGTTTAATGGTTTTTATGGATTCCATCAGGAGAAATGTGGTGGAAGCTTGTGCGCATACTCTTTCTTCACAAGAGCACATATGTGATTCACTTGGCCTTATTATAACAATTTTGTTTTCAGTTTAAACCAAACTTTTTCAAATATTTAATCATTGATGATTCAAGTTAGAATTTCTGGGTATACACTTGAAGTTTCTTATTACTTGAAAAAATCAAACATGTTGTGTATAAAGATGAAGGTTTTACCTAATTGAAGTTGTGAATTACATAATGTGACTATTATTTAGCAAACAATATTTTAGTTGAAATTCTCCAAGGCCAGAAGTTTCTGCCAGGCATTGAAATATAATTTTTTGCTGACCAACCAGGAAAATTTTTTTGTCAATACATGAGTTGCATTTGTAAATAATTTGTTTCTTGTGATGCCAGAAAATAAGTTGAGAACAGAAGACCCTTGGTTAGCAAACCACTCTGTTAACAAACTTTTTGGGTAACAAACTTTAGTAAATTTGAGAATTAAAAAATATATTTTAACACTGAAATTTATGGTACAATCTGAGTGAAAATATTCATGTATGCACAGAAATAAAAATGCTGTCCTCCTGCCA